CACACCACGCACAACACACACTCCAATCCACGGCAGCAGGCACACACAGCCCTGCCGCAACACCAACACACAGATGGAAGAGGGAGAAGCAAACAGGAGCGGCACACAAGGCTCCACCGCATGCGCATACGGCGAGAGCGGTCCGTCGTGTCTGCATCCCTCACGGAGGGCACGCACACACACAAGAGGAGGAGCAGTGCACACAGCAACAAAAAAGCAAAGTAACAATTAAAAAAGGAGATCCCCGCACACCACGCGGATTGTTGATCCACGGGAAGTGCAGCCAATATCCATCACGATAACAGTTCAGTTGCCTTTGGCACTCGTTCATATCCGGCGCACTCCACACGCAGGCTTTCCTTCTGGGAGACTCCTGATCGTGCGTTGACCCACACGCGCGAGAGTGTCCCGATGGCCTCCGTCCACGCTGTTCCCATGTCACGCGACGCCTACACCCTCTCGCCATTCTCGCAGTCAACAATCATGTGAAGTGATCCCTCCCACTCGGTGACGCGGGGTTAAGGCATTCCGCAGAGGAAATGTCCTCAGAGAGCGCCCAGGCACTGCCGTTGTCCGTCGAATACACGATCATGGAGCAAACGCCTTCCGCTTCATTCACCGCCATCAGAAGAAACACGAGCGCGCCATCCTCCATCACAACACCTGCACCACCAGAAGCAATGAAATCCGTCCATTAACCTTGTGAGAAGCAGAAGAGATCCGTTTCGAGAGTGGTTTGGGGTCGCCCCACTCGATCCGTCCACTCTGCCTGCCACCCGTGGGATTCGTGACATCACCCACAAACAGTTTCAGCTCCAAGCCGCCATCTCCCCAGCACCCACCTTCGTAGGACACATCAGAGCCTCCCGCAGGAGGAAACGCTCTCTGGCCCTACGTGATTGTTGTGGGGCGGAGCACAACACCCAAACTCTCCTTTCCCTCCGCTGCACCAGGCACAGTGTGTGCCCTCCGTGTATCTTTTATTGACCTCACCAACAACAGTGGACCAATTCCACGCAGAGTTGATGCACCCCGCAACCACATCAGAAGAAAAGGGCTTACTTAATTGACCACCTTGATATTCGGCATACATGTGACCTCGGCGAAAGCAGCAATTACTCCACCAGCACTGACTAGAGAGGGTGAGGCAAACGAATCCCTCGCCGTAACTGGAACAATCCCATCCTTCGGCTGCACCAGCGTCGTCTGCGGCACAAATAGATTGACTCCACGCGGCAACTCAACGTTTATTGAACCAATCATCGCATCATCAATGGGATCCTCCTTCGGCTCCGTGACAGGCGTGGACCTTCTTTCGGGTGGTATCGGAGCCACTTTTGTGTTCCGAACAAAGGCAAACTCAGGCCTCGTCTCGGACGTGTTGGTCGCCGTGTTAGATGAGGGACTCGGATCGACGGTGTTGGGTCCGTCAACCGCCGCAGACCGTCGCCAATCCTCGTTCTGACGTGACGGCTCAGCATTAACTTGCGGCGCAGTTGTCCCACCAGATTTTGTGTCATCCTTCCCTTCACGGGGTAGCGGCAACTGACAGATGCCCGTCCGGTCAGCATCGCCGCTCCGTGCAGGCGGATGGATGGCTCCATCGGGGT